TCTCTCTCTCTGTATATATATATATATATATATATATATATATATATATATATATGATTCCTTATATATCAATAAATATATGCAGACACAAGTACCGTTTATATTTATATCACCCTGTCTCGAATATACATATATAATTCTATTTGTTTAGCAAAAGGAATACCTTTTAGAAGACGAAATGCATTACAAGTAGTACTTTGCTCTTTCTCATTCGAATCTCTCTCTTTCTCTCACACACAGATACACACACACATATTAAATTAACTTTTTTTTTCGGATCTGAAGCTTTAAATGGCAAAATCCATTATCATACTTATTATAAAACCCAGGTTGTGTGTGTGTGTGTGTGTATGTGTTTGTGTGTGTGTGTATGTGTGTGTGTCTGTTCCTTTATATATTGGATCGGATTTCCTACATTTTTCAACTTTATTTTTACATTCAGAATGCTTTAAAAATACCGTTTACAAGACAATTGTTTATAATAAAATTTTGTTCAATCGGTAGACTCATAACGATTGAAAACAATGTTTTTGTTTGAGTTTGGGTTTGACCAATTCGTAAAAAAGAACTAATTAAGACATGCGTGTCCGTCAACCTTAAACAATAATCTTTGCCAATTTTATTTTTCAGTCTTTATGATGGTCGATACTTGATCTTTCTCTTACTCTTACATCCCCGGGCAACGCCGGGCTCTACAGCTAGTATATATATATATATATATATATAACTAAGAGACTTAGTATTGGATATATCATCCGTAATAGCTGAAATGATGCAAACCTTCGAGCTTTTACGAAAGAAATTCATCATGCTTGCAAATACAATCATGACCCGTACGGGCGAATTATAAATCTAGGTAAAAGAAGACTAAGCTTTTGCCATAGTTTCCCAAGGTTTGATAACGACACATTGGCAAAGACCTGAAATTCGTCTTTAGAAGAATACGGCTAAAAGCCCACTACGAATAAAATGACCACACACCTTCCATACTCGAAACATTAAAAGAGAACGGTTCTACATTCACCCCACGAAACACGGACATTACTAGACAGACATTTGAAATGTCAGTAACAAATGACATAGAAAACAACAGTACGTAAGCTGACACAACAATATCACTGAAGGGTAACAAGCGGTCCTTGATTCGCTGACACAAAGAGATGACCTAATCATTACACAGGCTGGCAAAAGTGGTGCCACACTGATCTGGGCAATCAAAGATTACGTTAAAGAGGCTAACAATCAATTATCCGACAAAAACACCTACATAAGCCTACCCACATACCTTCTCCCCGAATACAAATGAAGCATAGCGGGCTCGCTAAATATGATGTTTCAAGATTAACTAATTCACAAGGAAATATGCACAAAACTTACACCCACAAACAGCACATATGTCCGCTTCTATCTCCTTCTGAAAATACACAAACACAACAACCCAAGAAGGCCGGTAATTTCATCATCTAACTGCTACACGACCAAAATAGTCAAATACGTAGACCATTACATACAGCTTCTAGCTAAAGAAGTAAAATCCTACATCAAAGACACAACAGACCTACTAAACAGAATTAATCATATACAAACAGTGCCAGAAAATGCTACTCTAGTAACCAATGACATAAGATCCCCTTTTCAAACACATCGAAGGATTATCCGCCCTTAAAGAAGCACTCACGAAAAGAACAAAACAGGAACCCCCACCCCACAGAAGTAATCATAAACCTTATGGAACATTTTCATACATTGATTACTTTTGATTTCAATGGGAAACTCTACTTAAAATTAAGAGGATATACCTTGAGCACTGTTGCAGCTCCCTCATATGCCACAATCTGAGGAGACCAATATTTATCCTTTCAGCTGAAACGACTGCATATTCTATACAGGATATATCGATGATGTCTTCTTCATACACACGGGCAAGGAGGAGAAACTCACTGAATACCTTATGACCCTAAATAAGGTACACCACTCCAATGAGTTCCACGAAGTTCGGTAATATGTTTAGACATCTGCATCTACATCGATAAAAAACAAACTATAAACAACACTACAGACTAAAATCACCGACACCTACAACTATCTACACTTTAAGTCTCCCCCACTATAGACATTAAGGAGAATCTTCCCTTTTAACAAGCACTTAGACTCAGAAGGATATGATCTAACAATGTATAACAAAGCAAACACACTAAACATTTCGAGCATCAATTCAAAATACGTGGCTATAAACAACATATAATCAGCGAACAAATAAATATTGTAATTTCCATACCTAGAGAAGACACCCTAATATATAAAATTAAAAAATAAATCCTTCTGGTAAACACTTTCAACACTACTCTTTCTCTACTATCTCAGATAATCAAAAGTGGCTGGGAAATATTACATCTCAAACCAGACCTAAAATCTTTGTTTGAAAAACCCGGCCTTCTAGCATATCGTAAACCTAAGAACCTTAAGTATATTATAGATAGTAACCAAATTTCAGTTGATAAGCTAACTCGTTATAGAACAAAAAATAAACCAATAGGATTTTTCCAGCCACGTAACAAAACAAGGAGTCTATGTTGTAACTACATACTTAGACATACTTAGATATTCACTAGCTCAGTCATTAAAACCACTTTGGAAATCTACCACAACTCTAACTGTAGAAGCCATGACATAATTTATCTATTAGAATTTACACTATGCCATGTAGGAAAACCTTAATGGTGCTTTCACTACAATAATTATCGGAATCGAATCAAGTAGGCTCCCGACGATTATTACCCGTTGAACAACATTTCCACCATGCTCAATTCACTATAAATAAAGAAATAGAACTAGACAGAAAAGATAACTTTAGAGAAATCCTAGAACATTTCGTCCAGACACAAATTTAATGACATAGGTAGAATATATAACCTCATAAATCAAGCCCTACTATCATTTCTCACCCCCACAAGACATACATTTTTGCAGAGGTTTTGCGTTCTCATACTTATACACACACTTATTCTGATATATACGAAATGAAACACACAGATAAACACACTCTCAGAAAAGAAATACATAGTTTATGCTACTAACAAGCACACACATCCCATTCACAGCAACCAATGAAAGTGTCAAAATGAGGGAATTCTTAATGTCAGGAATGTTTATTATCCTTTTCTTAAAAACAATATTGAAAGATATATATATTTGACTAACACAAGAACTGGCCAAAACTAACGACAAAAAACAAATGAAAAATACAGATAAAGTTCACATTCTTCAGAAACAGCCATTCATTCCGATAGTTTACTCTACTAACAAGCAGGGGTTTTTAAAATTTTTCTTCTGATGATGGCCATGCTGTCCGAAACTAGTCGAGGAACTAAAAATTGAAATAATAAAATGAAAAAATATACTAAAACCAGTGTTTCATTGCTAAAAAAGTTTAATCTTTTTTATTGTTCAATATATCCACATATATATATATATATATATATATATATATATATATATATATATATATATATATATATATATATATATGCACACTCCAAGACAGTGACTCGGCACCAGAACGAAGAACAGAATTAGTTTCTCTTGAGCGGAATAAGTACAGCCTAGACATAGCTGTTGTCACTGAAACCCATCTTGCTGATTAATTTCAACTTGAGTAAGTGGTGGGGAAGCTATGTATTTTTCTGTTCTTATAAGAGCGCAAATGTAGCCCGCCTGTCACGTGTTCAATACAATCTAATCTTGCAAGGAAAATGAGCTCCCTTTTATCAGACTGTATCTTGATGCAGATACTTGACCTGCATGACCACATAAGTTTATAAGTTTATAGGAACCCACAGTGAACAGCACTGGGCAAGAGACTAGATGACTTCGACAACAACCTTAGTAATGTCACTTCCCACATAAGGATAAACATTCTTATTGTGGACTTCAATGCTCGGGTGGGTAACGATTACGTTTTCTATGATTTCTATGACACTATTGCTTTCTCATTATAATGTAAAGACTGAACATTTTACTTAAATCAGTTAGAATATTTTTTGTCGGTGACTTGTTTAACTCGTTTATAAGAAAGAAGCCAGCAAACCGACTAAAAAAGGATTTTATTTCTCAAACAGAATTTTCTTGACGTTCACTTCTAGTAAACATTCATATATCATATTTGCTTTATTTTTATCGTTTTCCTTTTGTTAGAAGATATTTTTACCATTTTATTTCCTTACGTCCGACTTCAGCGTCCGTCGCTCCAGCGCAGCGTTTTTCTTTCTCATTATTCATCTTGTTGGATGTCACTCGAAAAACCGTCTTACTTTCTATTCTTTGACTTCTTTGTATGTTTTGTTGCACATTTCTTTCATAATTACTTCACAAAAGCTTATTAGATTCGGGTTAAATATAATTTTACTTTCGGTAAGAATTAGTCTGCCAATCGTTTCTTCAATCATTATAACTGCGGCTTGATTTGATTTTCCTTCTTCGTTCTTCGCTAGTCGCTGCAAGTTCATTCGACGCTATTGGTTCTCAGGACATCAAGATATCCTGTAACACTTATTTACAGAGGATTTCTGTAAATTTGTCACCGGATGAAAGCTACTTGACGAAATACATAGCACTCTTCAATTGAAAAGTGAACCACAAACAAGCACATCTGATAGCTTAAAAACTACAAACTAAGCCTGTTGAAATCCTAGATGAACAAATTACTTCAGTTTTGTGACCTAAGAAAGAATACAAAGTAGTTTATCTAGTAACACTAAGAAACGTAAATTACCTTTAAGATGAAACCATTCCTAATAATTGTATTTGCTATTATATAACAGGAAAATTATAAAGCATTTTTGTCCATAACTAAAATGTTTATATACATGTCAAATACATAAGACATTTTGGAAAACGACTATTTTGAAATGTTTCGGCGATGAATAAGTAACATCAGAAAAAAATGTACCAAAATGTACATTAGTGAGAAAAATTACGTGATTCACATGGCTCATATGGACCCTTGATTTTTAATGCAAGCTTGCAAATGAAGATAGATAGATAGATAGATAGATAGATAGATAGATAGATAGACATCACTTAATATCAAAGTTAATTTTGAGAATTACCTTTAATTATTCCGATGTGTCTTCTAATTTCTATTTCACATTTTTCGTCGATGGTTCGAACAGAACACAAAATAGATTTCGGTACCTACTTGATTTATTGTCGCTTGTCGTTTCACTAATAACCGTCCATGCTCTCTTATTTATTATGATGCCACTAAGAGGAAAAAGCCACTAAGTCGCCTGGTGCTACTGGGTGTAAAATAGAATGATAAATACTTTAGAAGAAACCAGGAATCCAATCCTAAACCTCTACTCCTGTTCAAAAAATCGGGAAACGAACCATAGTTCAACCTGTCTGCACCCGTAGAGGAAAAAAATTAAATCAATATTAAATGAAATTTTAACGTTGAGGTGGAGATGTTACAAGTACAGAGATGAAGGAGACATTGAAAGGAAACCCAGCCCTCAAAAGGAAACAAGGGTTAAATCATTACGCCACTTCAAAAGTTCAATTATAAGCTAATGTAATTTTTTCTCACTAAGGGATGTGGGGAAGAAAGTAAACTCCACGTTTTCGGTTTTACGGGAACCATTGTATCGACAAAAGTCCAACAGACATAATTTTTATTAATTCTCTCTGATGAAATACTATCCTATTTCTATTACCCAGCTAAAATAGAACGTTCCTGTAATTTTGCAAAACCTTAAAACCTTTGCAGCTATTTTTATGAAACCATCGCTAACATTGTCATCACGTTATAAGAAAGTTGCAAAGTTCTGTAGCTGAAATATTCTACACTGGTCATTTATAACATTTCATTGATTGCTTGATTGTTTGTTTTTTACAACTTATCAATCTTTTACAGGTTATTTAAAGTCGGAAAATATTTTTAGATTGTAAGAATTTTATGGAGATAATAATGATATAATCATAAATGTTCTACTAATAAACCCATAGCTTGAGCGAGAAGAGGATTTACGTGTGACTATAATGATCTGGACTGGAGTTGAAATCGGCTCTCCGATTTCCAATTCCGAGACACTATCCATTACACCACCCGCACATCCAAGCTTACGGCGCCTGGTATTTTGAAACTGTCACTCTTTTAGGTGATAAATTCTATGATCAAATCAGAACACTTTTTCTTCACTTAAGAGTATGTATAGTCGGTATAAAATGTATTTTCGTGTCATTTTTTAATTGATAATCACTAATTTAGATGATGAATGCACATTATAATACTTTCATAGGATTTATTATCCATTTTCTGTTAATGTATCCTGACAAGCAATGTATATGAAACGTTTCCAACATGGTTTCGAATTATCCGTGTAAAGTTGGAGAAACGTTGCAGGTACGTCATTTTGTTATGTGGGTTACTTATATGATATGGAAAAATTTACCGACAAACTGATATTGTGGATTTGCCACATGCATGAATAATATAGCAAAAAAAAAAAAAGATCAACCTTTTTAATCTAGGCAGTGGTAAATCCATATATTCTGAAGGGAATTTCTAGGTTATCACATTAATTCAAATATCCATCTAAAGGGTTGATTCCAAAACTAAAGTATTTCCAGAATACCAATTTCTGGAAAAGGAAAAAACATATCACCAATATATTGTAATATGTATTTTAAAAAATATCAACAAAATATAGTTGTTAACAATCTTATTTCTCTTTGTCTATGCCACAGACAACAATATAAAATCTAATTCCACCATTCCTAAGAATGGGTGTCACGTTGCGCGTCGTACGACCAGATATCACTGATGACAACTCTAAGTATCAATCATTTGACCGCGACAACGGGTCCTAATTGACAATTAGGCGTATTGCCATTGAGGTAGTCGCTTCATGGACTATAATAAAATATGACTAATGAACCTGATTATCTTCAACAAAAGGAAAGAGAAGAATCAGTTTGGAAAACATTTTAAATATTTCAATGAAAAGTAATTTTCGAATTAATGAAAGATAGATAAAGAATATATATCCCAACAAAACAATTAAATATATACAGATTCATGAGCGTAAATGCCTGTGTATATATATATATATATATATATATATATATATATATATATATATATATATATATGGAAAAGATAGATAGAGATAGATAGATAGATAGATAGATAGATAGATAGATAGATAGAGTTAGAGAGACAGGGAGACAGAGAGACAGATAGATATTTATATATGCATTCAATTACACTTTCCCGTAAATATGGTACATATGATACTATATATGTGCATTGGGGTGTATATATTTAAATATGTATATGGACAATTAACAAACACCACTTCTACTGTGGCTGCAGTATATATGGTGTCCCTACGACAACGGGTTATAAGATAAAAAAAAATAGACAATCAGTACTTAATACCACAGTCAACATATAAAATGTATATGCGAAAAATTTATATATATGGTAATTTATATATATATATATATATATATATATATATATATATATGTTTGTGTGTGTGTATATATATATATATATATATATATATATATATATATATATATATATATATATATATAGTTATTTATGTGTGTGTGTGTCTGTACGGTTCGAGATGAATGTTAGTAGATAAAGTTTAAAACACACAGTGTAATAAATAATACAATAATATCGGAGTTCTTCTAGCACCACGCTGCTAAAATCATCATAGGGGACAATTTAAACAGCGTACAATGTATTTCTGATACGGAAAACACACACACATACACACACACAAACGCACAGGCACACATGGATCAGTGAGGGATATATTTGTGTTTGCAAGACTATAATAATAAAATCCCGTTTCTTGATGTATTTATAGACACAAATAATAATACATTTACTACAGCCTCATATGAAAAACAGTTAGCATAAACACGTGCACTCTCAACTTCATTAGAATGTCCTATTACAAAATAGCTATTACTAGCAGCATGGCCAGGCGTTGTCCGTGCTTGATTCAAGAAAAAAAAAAACAACTTGAAAACAGCAATCGCTATCACTTGACTTAAAATATTTTTGCCCTTCCTTGCCTTTAAAGGAGAGCCCTTTGTCGTGCTGATGTTGCTAAATGCCTACAAAACATTGTTGCCTAACTCACACTGCGAATTTTTCTAAGCTTCTATATTAAAAATTAAATATGTTACGATTTGTTTGTTTTAAAACAAATGTTATGAAACGAAACGATCAGCTTTAAAAAGGACTCGTAACTGGAAAAACTGAATCAAAAATAAAATGTTAACAACAAATACTTTTTCACACCGAACCCAGTTCTGCGGAATCAGAATCAACGTTGAGTTTAAGCAAGCGAATGAGCCAATTGGAGTTTCAAATGGGCGTAAAGTGCCATGCAGATTTAAACTTTTTCCCACTTGTGACAAAACGCAGCTATCGATTTTTTTTTGCATGCTAGTTAACATTCATGTCAGTCAGCTGTTGACCTCTCACGCTGGCCAATAAAATCTTCCTGCATATGCGTTGCAGCCAGCTATAGGCTCTGAAACTGAAGGTTTTAGTAGAAAATGGCGCAAACTACATGAAAGCTGCCGTAAAAGCATAAAAAAAATCGATTATTTCCACTATCGATGGGATTGGGAAATATAAAGACAGTCTTGGCCTTACCGCTAACTTGGAGCATGTGCATGACATAAATTTTGGTGCAATATCTGCACTGGAAAATTGCGGCCATTGCATTCGGGAACACACACACACACACACACACACACACACACACACACACACGGAGACACAAACATCCTGCCTTTTATAGATAGAGATGTGAAACTTACTCAACAATCAAAATCAAAAAGAAAGATTCTCTATACTAACTAAAAAAAGAAAAACAAACCTTCATTAATAATGAGTTTCCCTAATTACGTCATTGATCTTTGAAGAAATTTGTGACTATTAACATAAATAAAAACTGAAAATAAAACGTTCTCAAATAATAATAATCCCTGTAATAATAACAACGATAATAATAATAATCATAATAATAATAATAATAATAATAATGTTATCTGAGACCGCAAACAAAATAGTGCCTCCTCATTGATATGACATTTCCTGCAGACTTTAAAACTTTATCAAAATATAAAGCACCTTGAAAATCTCAACATGTGGCACATGGGAACATCAGTAATTCCTGTTGTAGTCTGAGCCCTCCGATTGGTTGTAAAAAGATTCCAATAAAAAGACTCATTGAAATGATTGCTGGAAGCCAAACAATAAAGAAATACAAAAAATTGTTCCTGAGTACCAGAAACCCTTTACAATTGGCTTTATCTATGTAAAATGTGTGTGTGTGTGTTTATTTCATTTTATAGGTTAGTGGGAAAATGTCATGATGCAATTATAACTTTCGGTAAATCTGGGTGGGACACGAAAAGAAATTTGAACAAATATCTGTTGAACTAACAATTCAGAGAAAAACTTGAAGCTTATTCTGATTATTTATATCCTCAGCTCTCAAAATTAATGTTGCATCACTTTGGGAAGTTTCCAAAACTATCTTTATCTTCATTGAAAGCATTGAATCGTGACTATACGCCCGGATCCCTCTTCCGGTTTTTCACCAGCTGGTTAGCTTCTGCCCCACGGCGTGGCTAAATACAGTTTGCATCGATGTGAACAAAACTGGTGAAGATCTGGTGTACTTTCAACAAAGAAACAAAACGTGATATCGCATTCGTGAGAAAGTCAAGGGGCCTATTAGTTCCGATGTGGTTTTATATCGATGGCGCCATGAAGCTGGCACTGTCGAGAAATAGATAAATAATACTTGATACATTTCGGACTACATAAGAGCATTACCGGAGTTAGTTACCAGCAGGCCACGTGTCACTAGATCCCAGTAGTTTATTAGATCCCAGTATTATTTTTTTTTCATTTATTTCTATATTTATATTTAATTTTCTGTTCAATACAGAGATAGAGAGAGAGAGAGGAAGAGAGAGAGAGAGATTGTTTTCTAACTTGAATTAAACTGGCGCCGCAGACGAAAGTTATAACATCCACACGTAGCTCCCAGTCGAGATAAAATCATTTAAATTCAATTGATTAAGTTAGTCGCCAAATTACAGCATTGAATAAATTAATCACAGCACTTTCAGTGTTTCTACATGTGGTGCAATCTCAAAATTAAAATTCAGAGTTGCTCTTTCAGACAGGCGAACCTTTCAGACATGACTAAATCGCCCAAACTATCTTACTATTACTCCTAAAAAGCTTGTTTAAATCATTTATGAGTAAATATATATTTTATAACTGAAATATACATACTTTCTGGTTTTTATTTTTTGTTTCTTAAGATTCGCAGTTAACTTTCCTCTCTTTAAGAATGTATTATTTATGTCTTCTTGTCTACTTGTAAGTTTTAGAAAGTTTAAGAGTTGTCATCACGCCTAAAGGGACACAAGACAGAAGAAGAATAACGGAAAAAGATGCACTGAAATTGCCACTATGTATGAGTATGCCTTACATATAATATACGGTATGTTTTTTTTTTCCAGTTTATCTCCCGTTCTTATCAAACAATATGAGATTAGTAAACCTTGAAAATTTAATTAATTAATATATTAAATACCTTGAAAAATAATAAATAAAATAAATTGAAAATAACACACTAACTAAATAGATAACTATACCCTTTCAAAACTGGTTAAGATTTGACGTGTGTTCTTTGAGAGCTTCAACAGAACCAACCTGCACACAGATACACAACCACCATCTTGTTGAGTGGCTGGATTCATAGTTTTGCAAATATAATGCATAGATCGATCCTGACTGTATGCTTTAAAATGTTATGCTGAAGACTTATCAGATATTGTCATATGTATGACGATAAACTACATCCGGTAGCAAGGCATCTGATTTGGAGATTGGAGAATTTTGAAGAGCGTGGAATCACCTCTTAATTACTCTTGTTCCCAGGTACACTCTGACCTAGGGTCCTATCTATGGGCAATTAGTGAAACCCGAAATAAATCACTATAAATTATAAAGACAATTTTATTATAAAAATACCAGCAATACATATTTAAAATAAAATTACTAACAATATATATTTATACTAAAAATTACCAACAATAAACATTTATAGTAAAATGACCAACAATATATTTAAAAGAAAATATCAAGCAATACAATTTATTGTATAATTACCAACAATACATTTTGTTGAAAAATGACCAACAATAAATTTTATCTGTAGTTGAATGAATACAATTGCGTTAAAAATTTATTCATCTGAAGCGAGCGATGCCTGTTAAAATGTTTTTAAATTTCGTGCAAAAAACATTAAATAACCACTAGCAAGGTAATTTTACGTAGGGTTGAAATCGGTTGAAAAAAGGAAATCCACAAAATTAACCAAATGGGTTTTATAATAAGTATATTACCAACCAGATTAAAAGCCAAGTCTTCCAAAATTTAATGAACGGGTCAGGAATAACAATACATTTTTGAAAATACAAAAAATTTTAATATAGTTGAATGAATACAATTGCGTTAAAATTTATTCATCTTGAAATATTTGTTGACTGATTGTTTAAATATTTTAACCAAATGTGTCCGTAGATGATTCAACAGTCTTCCAAGCTTTAATGACGAAAGGAACGGATGGTGTCTATCGGAATACAATAAAATTATATACTCTTGAAAATTTATTTTAGACAAACCTAATGGTCCTACAGTGATATGCGAAAGAACACCTCATGTTTCGTGTCTCAAAAAAAGTTAATGCTAATTCATGCCCGCGTCCAATGACTAACACAGCTACACAACCATTTTACCTATTGTATTACACAATCTTAACTCGGCTGAATCCACTTCTACAAGGGCAAAACATCCAGTGTACTGCTCATTTTTAAATTGTTACTCGTGTTTAAATACATTATTGATTATTCCTATATCAATTTTTTAACATGAAACACTGAATAATAATATAAAAACAGAAATAAAATCATGTGTTAATTGTAGTTATTTTCTTTTATGAAAATATTGTACTGTGTATACTCGTATATATGTTGACTTCCTGCATAGTGCAAACTGCTGATTTTTTTTGTCATGAATTTTAAACCTTCCAGAAAAAAATGCTTGTATTTAATGCAACCAGTCACCGAAAATGCATTAATTTTAACTGCTAGAAAAATGTTTCTGTGCATTCCTATTCTTTGTGTCAAAAATAAATGATAAAACTTGCACTATACTTGAGTATATACAGTATTTATTATGCTTCTAAAATAATTTGCTATTAATTAGGCGTTTATACAACTCTTACGTTAATGAGAGTTTTCTATCAATAGGCAATTAATGACCATCGTCCCAAATATTTCTGACCTTTGTTTTACACTGTTTTTGATATAAAATTATTTTAGGAATTTTTTTAGCACAGTAGTGGTTTAGTAGTTTCAATTGAGAGGTTTTAATAAATCATAGCTACTGATTCTTTTTTTTCCGTAGAAGTGACATGATGTTCAGTTGAAAGATTATGATTTATTTACTTTTTGTCTTGTTTAGCTAAAATTTGTTTTAAACACACCAGAATGATACGCATCAAAAACAAGTGATCTTTGTCCGTCTCGCCTATTCTTCTACTTTCACCAATCAGTCAGAATCCTCGGCTCTAAAATGGTTCTGGCTAAACGACGGCAAACGATTTTCTATTTTTAAATTAAATTTCAAACAGATGGAATCTTAATTTCTGTTACTTTTTTTTTTTAATTTTGATAATATGGTGAAGAAAAATTTTTCACTTCAGTATTTTCAGCATAGTTTGATAAAACTTCATATCTAAAACGAACGTCTCTTTTCCAGTTCATTTAATCGATCTCAAATATAGTATTGCTTCGCTCTTCTCTGTGTAGGTATGTGCTTATCTTAGTGTATTTCGCTTTCTTTTACTTCGCCTCTCTATTCTAATATCTTATTCACTTCTGTTCTGTAATTTAATCGATTTATTCGCTTTATCTCTTCATCCTGAACGTAGATAACCACACATTTGCATCTGCTCTCATGTCAATATGACAGCACATCTCCGGTTGAAAAAACGAACTTAAAAGAATAATCTATAAATAACATCTATAATGCACTGACTTTGAAAACAACTACTAGTATATTAATCCAATTAAAATTCACATAAAGACTATATAAACTACCTTAACTTATTACCCGTTCTATACATCTTGAAAATTGGCAATGGATATTGCAACTAATCATTCCACTGACAGAAAATTGGATAAAATTGATTGCTCTTGAATTTATTACCCACACTCCCAAAGGGGGTGTTCGCAAACCTGGGTAGGTGTACTTCTGAAGGTACTCAAGAGAATTTCTGTGGGTAAGTTATCATGTCTCTCGCACTCGTGACCTCTCATCTTTTCTACATTGAATGAAATAATGACTTTGATGTAGGAAGAATAATCAAGGAAAACAGTGATATAGTTCTGAAGTATTTCGTTTCACAATGTCATTATCTTTGCTTTTATTTTTCTGATATGAAGAAATTCGATTATCATCAACTCATTTGGAGCCCCATTCCGACACTTCGGCATATGGATCAGTTAGAAAAAATATTTAGAATATGAGATAAGCAAATTAAGGACAAGGTTGCACAAGAAGTACTTTATTCATCAGGGTAAGATGATACACATACAAAATATTAGCCCGAAAACTAGCGACTGTTGCAGTTTTTTGGGTATGTTTACTAGTGAGCTAGCCCAAATGACTTGATTCACTTTATAGTCCACCAAAAGAAGGTTAACCAATCAGAAGACGTAGAATATTCAATCCGTCGTGTATAAAGGCGGCAATTTTGTTTACTCTATCCGAATGTCCAGTGCCAGCTTGTTAGGCGAAGATGAACAGAAGGAAGAACTACGCTCTGTTACTTTTCCCGGGATATACTCTGCTAACCTGAAGTACGCTTCCCTACTGTCTTCGAAATATTTACCGCTAACCTCTGGATTCTATACTCAAAGACGACCGTCATCATGAACAACAGCGACATCCTTCATTAACCTCGTCAGATTTAGACCTTCTGTGTGTGTCATAAATGGCATCAAACATGGCCAAAAATGCCTGATCGATTATATATATGCTACCGTCTTCTTTGCTAAACGATTCAAAACAGCTTCAAGCTAAGTAATTCTTCAAACCTATCAATTGTCTCCACATCACAAAAGTCGAGCCTTAACACATAAAAAAACACACTGCTTAGATACTTAAAAGAGAAACAACCTCAGCAAAAATGGGTAGCCTATGTGATTGAAAGGGAAAACAAGAATGTAATCAAGACATTGACTTTCCACTGTACCTTAAATTCTCATCCATTCTGCTGGAAGAGTTATAAGACATGCCAAATCTAATTTCCAGAAAAATCTCTTTTTAACGAAAGGAATCAACCAACTGTAACACTAATTACTCGGTCAATTAATCCGGAACCTTTCATGTATGGAAATATTTTATTTTACAATTACCATTACCATTTTTATGTAATATCAGATTTATTCTGTTTCACGCATAGAAACGTTTTATTTCACAATTACCATTATCATTACCATTTTGAAGTAATAACTGTGGGTAATATCTTCTGAGTGATTTAAGAACATTTGAATGATTCATTGACCAAAGTAAGTTATTTTTTATTCATTTATTCATTTATTGTCTACGGTTTATCAACCCATTTCAGGTTATTTAAAGCCAGAAAATATTTTTAGATTGTAAGAATATTTTGGAGACAATAATTATTTACTTATACAAATATGTTTAATTTAACCCCCCATCTGGGGGTAGAAGATATTAAATTTGTCAGTATTTTCATAAGTGAATATAACGAACCTAACGGAAATTGGAACTCGGCTCTCTCTCATTAAAAATTCCGAACTATTATCTATTTCACCATCCGCATATCCAAACTCACAGTACCTGGCATTGCCAAGCGGTGACCCATCTATGTACTGACAGAGGCTCGACTTTGCTTAAATTCTATGTTCTTACTGGAACCAATGATTCAACGTGGTATGGTCGTAAGCTAAAGTTCTTTAAGAATTTTCCCTGGTCCGAATATTCATGTTCCATGTTAAAATCATGCCAGTGTCTCTGTTTCATGAATTTGTTTCTTTCCATTTTGTTTTTACTGCACACGTTTGTTTTTTCTTTAAGATTCCTTTTAGAAATTTATACGTATTTACGTATCTTGAAAAGATTTCAAGAATTGATATAAATTTTCGAAATGGAATATCTTATCCATTACTTTAAATGTGTAATATATATATATATATATATATATATATATATATATATATATATATATATATATATATGGCCTTTTCGACGATGGCGATGGTTGGAAGGGGAAAATGTTATTATAGAACACAGCACATCTCATGGCTAAAACAACCAATGCGCGATTGGCGCCGTCTTTGGCAATGACTACAGTAGTAGATACTGTGCATCCATCCACCTTGGGGAATTTGCATCTTTGTCTTGACTCTACGGCAAATTGAACTGTTCTCTTCATTACTCTTCTCTCACCCCATCCTAGTTCGCAACATTGATAGAAAATTACGTCCTGGACGTTTTACAGTGGTCCTCGAAGCGAAAATTGGGTCGTCCAACGTTACACCTGCCTTCTGGCAGTTCCCTATACAATATCCGTTTGGGAATTCTGAATTTATCCAAGCGCTCAACCGTCTCCAGGCCACCTAAGACGCCGATACAGCAGGATGGGATATAGTAAATAAATTCCAGCCCTTTTGAGCATTTCTGTGTCCGTTACCTTATCTTGCTAATTAAGTTTAAAAATATTTCTTAAAGAACACGTGAAAAATATTTAAACTTCTCTCCAGACCAGCAGGCAAGGCCCAGGTCTCACTCTCCTAAAGGAGTGTTGAGAAGACGTATGTTTCGTAAATTAAAGTCTTGGTTTATATCCTAGGTTTCTCACATTCCCATGCTCTTTTCATAAGTCTCATGTATGCAGCTGAGGTCTTTCCTATTCTGCTTTTCAATTCCTCCATAGATATGGTCGATATTATGGTGATAAACAAGCTTATTTATTTTTTCAGAGATTCACCACCAAGTTTTATCTCTGGTGGTGAGTTTGTAATCATAACTCAGTTTTCTTTAGGCTGATTGTCAATCCGAAGACACTGAATGCTTCCGCTAGACGATCATCTAGTCTTTGAAGGGTGATTTCACTTTGCGCCGCTATCGGGGCATCATCAGCGAAGAGTAATTCTCTAATTAAGACTTCAGTTTTCAGTTGCTTTAACTTCAGTGTTGAAACTTGACTAATGCATGGAATAATAATGCAACACAAAATGAACTTAGAACAAAATGTATTGAAAAAGAAATCCATATAGTCTTTTGTATATTCATGGTGACTGTTTGGAGAAGGTGTTGACTGAGTCGCAGTCGGGCCGAGTCTCTGGTTGAATCTCTTGATTCCTCCTTCTCTTCCCGGTACCAACCATATTTATATGTTCGGTACTCCACTATGCAAATTAGGTGGATCCTACCACAACATTCAGTCTTTTCAGATAGAAAAGAGATCTATCAAATCTGGTTTTAAGGTAAACACCATCCTCACTGCCATGAAAAGCATGTTGCACAAGGACAGCAAAATAAATGGCAAAGCAAGTGTATGCCACTCCTCACTGTGAATGGCTTTCCCTCTAAATGAATGCGAGCATTTATGTCCGCATGAAAAGAAAT